GTGTGCGTGTGCGTGTGCGTGTGCGTGTGCGTGTGTGTGTGTGTGTGTGTGTGTGTGAATTTAGAGCAGGAAACCAAGGCAGACCTTCCTTTTTCCCCTGACCCTTTTGTGTACATGAGGTCTAGGCCCTTCTAAAGGGAAACCGCTTCCAATTCCATCACGATGAGGCAGAGGAACAAATGGTTGCTCATGAGGTGGGTTGTCCATAAAACCATGCATGAATCCCAGGAAGGGGGTGTGCGGCAACCCCCCAGAGTGAGGGGAGAGAGAAGAGCTGCCAGGCCTTCTCACCAGGAGTGGTCAGGAGACACATACTGTTTCTTTGCATTTCAAAAGCTGTCTTTCTGGAACTTTTGGGGCTCAGGAAAGAACAGCCTGCACTTCCTAGGTGCATCACAAGACGTATGACAAGTATGATACGATCAGATACTAAGTGAGTACATTGCTCATTCAGAAATACACTTCTAGAATGTTATCGCACAAGACAATCCCGTAAACATGCAAGGTGTTATTCAGCACAGGGCAGAGATACTTAGCTCATCCCTCCTGCAAACTCATAGAGCGAATATGGGAACAAATTCGTTCATCCTCTATAAAGAGCTTTCAGCTCACTGGGAGAGAGGCTGTCCAAGACCAGACGCAGTGTTTTAGGCTGTGATTTATATCTGCACATTAATCTCTTAAAGAACACCTCATCCCCATTTGAAATGGGGCCAGGTACTGAGTCTCACTGGCTCTGAGAGCCCTGCTGCCACAGGTATTTAATAACTCAGTGTCAGCAGGATCTTGATTTAATACCTGCCCAGTTGTAGTTGCTACGAGTGAGTGAAAGAGTGAGTGAAAGGAGGAGGTAACTACAGGCTGTTATGCCTGCATTGAAATGCACGGAAGAGGGGGTAAATCAATACATTCTTAAAAGGGTCTCTTAACTACTTTTTTTTGACAAAGTTAACATTGTCTTTTTCTTTGGTTTTTGTTTGTTTGTTTATTTTCTGAGGCTCCAGAGGTAAAGCTTTATTTCCACCAATCAGCAAATACAATGATATAAAAGACTACGAGTTGACTTAAAAATTATAAAACTAAAAAATATAGTACCGCCCTGGCTGGTTTGGCTCAGTGGATGGAGCATCAGCCTGCGAACTGAAGGGTTCCAGACTCGATTCCAGTCAGGGGCACCTGCCCGAGTTGTGGGCTCGATCCCCAGTGGGGGACTTGCAGGAGGCGGCCAATCCATGATTCTCTATCTCTCTCTCCCTCTTCCTTCCTCTCTGAAATCAATAAAAATATATTTTAAAAATATATAGTGCCAACATTGATGCATTTAACAACTCCCACAAGTATTTTCTGAGTTCCTACTAGATACTCTTTTGGATACACAGCCAACAAAGGAGATAAAACACCAGGCCTCATGTAACTTACATTCAGGTGGAGGGAGCTTACACCATTACTTCATACCCTCATCCTTCCTCTCTGAAATCAATAAAAATATATTTAAAAATATATATAGTACCAACATTGATGCATTTAACAACTCCCACAAGTATTTTCGGAGTTCCTACTAGATACTCTTTCGGATACACAGCCAACAAAGGAGATAAAACACCGGGCCTCATGTAACTTACATTCGGGTGGAGGGAGCTTACACCATTACTTCATACATCACGCCTATATATATCAAGTGCCTCCTGTGTACCAGGCACTCTGCTCAGCGGTGAGACCAACCAACTTTAATTAGAAAATATCCTCCACTTGAAAGTAATGGGAATCCAAAGCAAATCATCTGTTCCAGGATATGAGGCAAGCACTGAGTGAGAGGCAGGTCTATGGTGTCCTGTGTGGGCACTGAGGAGGCATCATCATCTAAAACTAATGTCAGCAAACTTTTTCTGCAAAGAGCTAGAGAATAAATAATTTAGACATCGTGGGCATTTGGTCTCTGTCGCAGCTCTTCAACCTGCTACTGCAGGGCAAAAGCAGCCATACACAATACCTGAATGAATGAACGTGCCTGGTACTAATACAACTTTATTAATAGGCCCTAAAATTTTAATTTCATGTACTTTCATGGGTTGTTCATTTTATTCTTTGTTTTTTTCTAGCATTAACACATGTAAAAACTCTTCTTAATTTGCACGCTATTCAAAAATAGGTATTGTATGGATTTGACTGTGAGCCAGTCAAACTTGTGACTGGTTTACTATAAACCCTTGGCCAAAGGCAGATTAGAGGTCAAGAAAAGCCTATCAGAGAAGGTGACTTGGATTTTTAAAGAATAGAGAAGATGCCAGGTTATAAAAAAGTCGAATGATGAGGTACGGGTGTGGAATGAGGAAGGACATTTAAGTTTGAGGAACCAGGATGTTATAGAAAATAGTAAAAAGAAAAAAAATCATAGAATTTAGGTATTTCTGGGAAAACATTTAGTAAAGAGTTAATATTTATCCTTTTTTCCAGTATTGGATAATTTTGGTTGGCTAAGAAGAGAACTATTGTATTGGCCTTTTCTATTTACAAAAATAGTACATGATCATTAAGAAAAACCAGAGTATACAGAAAAGCAAAAGAACATAAAGAATTTCTAAAATCCCACCCCACGGAACTACTGATAACCCTTTAGCATATATCCTTTTAGGTCCTTTCTAATGCATATTTAAACACACGTATGACTATGTTTTCTACAATAAGGGGAAGATAGTGTACAGTACATACCATTATGTAACCCACCATATTTTATTTAAGCAATTTCAATAATTGTTGGATATTTAGGTTATTTTGATTAGTTCTATGATGTTGGCTATTTAGTTTGCTCATCACTTGAGTTATTCTAAATTTTAACTTTTCACAAAAACCCGTAGAAGAAATGATTGATTGAGTGATTGACAGCTCGAAGTTGACAAGAGTTGAGGCATTACTGTGGTACACCACAACTGGAAATTAGGTTTCAACCAAATTGTCATGTTCAGCAACTTTCCCTCGGCCAAATTATATGTTGATCTGAACCTCAAAGGCATGCATTGCTAAGATGCATTTCAAAAAGTCCATACAATTTTCTGTTTCTGAATAAAAAGGCTGGGATGGATTGGAAATCCCAGGAGCCTGTCCTGAACAACGTAGTGTAAACTAAGGAATGTGCACTGTTGTGAAAGTCATGGGCAGCATCAAAGGCCTGCAGGAGGAGGAGGGACATAAGGCTTATAGAGGTTAAGTATAGGACTCGTGTAACTGAAAAAAGGATGGAGTCAGTGAGGCCCATGCTGGTGGCAG